CCAAGGGAACAGTATTGGCAATTGGCTTAAGCTCCTGTATGAAAGCCTCTGGTAAATATTGAGACACCTGTATTGGCCGGATACATTTATCAGGCTGCGTGAACCTAAAAGGGTTTATGCGGCTGGGGTGTAGGGTTTAGGGTAGTTTGTGGTTCATATACCAGAAAAGGACTAGAGTAGCATGGTATAGGTCCCACAATTGTTGCATTCATTTTGCCCCCAATGTGCTCAACACTTCAGTTCTCGAGTCTTAAGCGCTCAGCCTATACTCCAGCAGCCAATCTGACAGCCCCAGGCAACCCCAACCGGAACAGTTGCTGCTGGGTCGCTTGAAGTGGTGGCGGTCTTTGTGGCCGAACTGGTTATGGTTGATGTGATCGTCGACGATCCTCGCGTGCTCCCTGTGCAAGACTGTGCAACAGACATGCTCAGCTTCAACAGTTGCAGGAACCAAGATTTTTGGCGTCCCCTACTTACTTAGAATGGGCAAATTTGCCCGGCAAATTGGGCAGTGTATGTTCTACATATGTTTCTATGCGTGGGGTAGGTCCCCCAATTGTTGCATTCATTTGGCCCCCAATATGCTCAACACTTCAGTTCTCGAGTCTTAAGCTCTCAGCCTATATTCCAGCAGCCAATCTGAAAGCCTCAGGTATCCCCAACCGGAACAATTGCTGCTGCGTCGCTTGAAGTGGTGGCAGTCTTTGTGGCCGAACTGGTGATGGTTGATGTGATCGTCACCGAACCTCGCGTGCTCCATGTGCAAGACGGCGCAACAGACATGCTCAGCTTCAACAGCTGCAGGAACCAAGATTTTCGGCGCCCCCTACTTACTTAGAATGGGCATGTTGGGCAGTGTATGTTCTACATATGTTTCTATGCATACATTTAGGGCTTCCAAGGGAACAGTATTGGCAATTGGCTTAAGCTCCTGTATGAAAGCCTCTGGTAAATATTGAGACACCTGTATTGGCCGGATACATGTATCAGGCTGCGTGAACCTAAAAGGGTTTATGCGGCTGGGGTGTAGGGTTTAGGGTAGTTTGTGGTTCATATACCAGAAAAGGACTAGAGTAGCATGGGGTAGGTCCCACAATTGTTGCATTCATTTGGCCCCCAATGTGCTCAACACTTCAGTTCTCGAGTCTTAAGCGCTCAGCCTATACTCCAGCAGCCAATCTGACAGCCCCAGGCAACCCCAACCGGAACAGTTGCTGCTGGGTCGCTTGAAGTGGTGGCGGTCTTTGTGGCCGAACTGGTGATGGTTGATGTGATCGTCGACGATCCTCGCGTGCTCCCTGTGCAAGACTGTGCAACAGACATGCTCAGCTTCAACAGTTGCAGGAACCAAGATTTTCGGCGTCCCATACTTACTTAGAATGGGCATGTTGGGCAGAGTATGTTCTACATATGTTTCTATGCATACATTTAGGGCTTCCAAGGGAACAGTATTGGAAAGTGGCTTAAGCTCCTGTATGAAAGCCTCTGGCAATGATTGAGGCACCTCTATTGGCCGGATCCATTTATCAGGTTGCATGAACCCTGAAAGGGTCTATGCGGCTGGGGTGCAGGGTTTAGGGTAGTTTGTGGTTCATATACTAGGAATGGACTAGAGTAGCATGGGGTAGGCCCCACACTTGTTGCATTCATTTGGCCCCCAATGTGCTCAACACTTCAGTTCTCGAGTCTTAAGCTCTCAGCCTATACTCCAGCAGCCAATCTGACAGCCCCAGGTAACCCCAACCGGAACAATTGCTGCTGGGTCGCTTGAAGTGGTGGCAGCCTTTGTGGCCGAACTGGTGATGGTTGATGTGATCGTCGACGATCCTCGCGTGCTCCATGTGCAAGAGGGCGCAACAGACATGCTCAGCTGACAGTTTGTGGGTTTCCTGTTGAGGCTTCGGGACTTCGGGCGTCAAAAGCTGCAGGACCAAGATTTTCGGTGTCCCCTGTGTATGTTCTACATATGTTTCTATGCATACATTTAGGGCTTCCAAGGGAACAGTATTGGAAAGTGGCTTAAGCTCCTGTATGAAAGCCCCTGGTAAATATTGAGACACCTCTATTGGCCGGATCCATTTATCAGGTTGCATGAACCTAAAAGGGTTTATGCGGCTGGGGTGTAGGGTTTAGGGTAGTTTGTGGTTCATATACCAGAAATGGAATAGAGTAGCATGGAGTAGGTCCCACAATTGTTGCATTCATTTGGCCCCCAATGTGCTCAACACTTCAGTTCTCGAGTCTTAAGCTCTCAGCCTATACTCCAGCAGCCAATCTGACAGCCCCAGGTAACCCCAACCGGAACAGTTGCTGCTGGGTCGCTTGAAGTGGTGGCGGTCTTTGTGGCCGAACTGGTGATGGTTGATGTGATCGTCACCGAACCTCGCGTGCTCCATGTGCAAGACGGCGCAGCAGACATGCTCAGCTTCAACAGCTGCGGGAACCAAGATTTTCGGTGCCCCCTAATTACTTACTTAGAATGGGCATGTTGGGCAGTGTATGTTCTACATTTGTTATATATGCATACATTTAGGGCTTCCAAGGGAACAGTATTGGAAAGTGGCTTAAGCTCCTGTATGAAAGCCCCTGGGAATTATTGAGACACCTCTATTGGCCGGATCCATTTATCAGGTTGCATGAACCTAAAAGGGTTTATGCGGCTGGGGTGTAGGGTTTAGGGTAGTTTGTGGTTCATATACCAGAAATGGACTAGAGTAGCATGGAGTAGGTCCCACAATTGTTGCATTCATTTGGCCCCCCAATGTGCTCAACACTTCAGTTCTCGAGTCTTAAGCTCTCAGCCTATACTCCAGCAGCCAATCTGACAGCCCCAGGTAACCCCAACCGGAACAGTTGCTGCTGGGTCGCTTGAAGTGGTGGCGGTCTTTGTGGCCGAACTGGTGATGGTTGATGTGATCGTCACCGAACCTCGCGTGCTCCATGTGCAAGACGGCGCAGCAGACATTCTCAGCTTCAACAGCTGCAGGAACCAAGATTTTCGGTGCCCCCTACTTACTTAGAATGGGCATGTTGGGCAGTGTATGTTCTACATTTGTTATATATGCATACATTTAAGGGCTTCCACGGGAACAGTATTGGCAATTGGTTTAAGCTCCTGTATGAAAGTCTCTGGTAAATATTGAGACACCTGTATTGGCCGGATACATTTATCAGGCTGCGTGAACCTAAAAGGGTTTATGCGGCTGGGGTGTAGTATACCAGAAATGGACTAGAGTAGCATGGGGGGGTAGGTCCGCCAATTGTTGCATTCATTTAGCCCCCAATGTGCTCAACACTCCAGTTCTCGAGTCTTAAGCTCTCAGCCTATACTCCAGCAGCCCATCTGACAGCCCCAGGTAACCTCGACCGGAAACAAATGCTGCTGGGTCGCTTGAAGTGGTGGATGTTCTGGAAGTGGCAGTCTTTGTGGCCGAACTGGTGAGAGAAAGAGAAGTGGTTGATGTGATCGTCGACGATCCTCGCGTGCTCCATGTGCAAGATGGCGCAACAGACATGCTCAGCTTCACAGTTTCTGGGGTTCCTGTTTGAGGCTTTGGGACTTCGGGCGTCAAAGGCTGCAGGAACCAAGATTTTCGGCTTCCAGGCGGGCGTTCAACCCTGGCAAAGATCAAGACGAGGCCACGAGTGAACAAAGAACCGAGGGAAACATGGGGAGGGGCCTACTTATTCAGGATGGGCATGTTGGGCAGTGTGCGTTCCACATGTGTTGTGTATGCATACATTTAGGGCGTCTAAGGGAACAGTAACCTGAATTGAGTTTAAGATGCTCGTAAGGGTCGCTGTTGACGTTGCCCCTGCCTGGCAGCCGCGCTGCATCCGAACCCACAATTCTAGGGCTTATGGCATATGGTTCAAAGAACAATAACCATCTTGTCATGAGGGTATCCTTGGTGTGAGTTCCATAACAGAGCCAAGAATGCAACAAAGGCAAAAGTTTAGTTCGGGGAAGAGGGCCTTTTTCTCACTGTATCCGAAGATCTTTCGGAGGGCTTTCGCTTGAATTTGAATGGGGGTGGCCATAGTTGGGCAAGTGTGCTGGAAGTAGGTCTGCCGCATTGAGCTGGGGATTTGCTGTGCCGCCACGAGTAACATTCGGGGGGGTGGTTGCGCAGTTGGTTTGCTGCATTTTGCTGCCTTTTGTGCTACTGCATATGAATGGGGACTCGCTCTTTTGGTATTGCCTGACCTGCCTTCACCCTAGCCGATGCGTTCTCACAGATGTTGCTCGAAGTTGCATTGTTCTCGTGCGAAGACCTCCTCTGAAGTCCAGTCAGGTAGCATGTGCTAAAGGCTGCAAGCACGAGCACAACGGCAACAGCAAAATCATCGACCACAATATCAAGGACATTAACATCAACCGCCTCCACGTCATCGCCGTCATTTTCGTCAATATCAACAACATCCACATCAACGACGTCACAGTCGTCAGTGTCAATGACAACAACATCATCTACGTCAGCAACAGGGACGTCAACATCGCTTAGCACAGATTGCGCCCTGCGGGGGTGTTTGGGGATCCTGGGGTTGGGGCCGAGATCTTTGCGTGTGAAACTGTTGGTGGCGATGCCTGCGCGAAGAACACTCTTTGTTGGAACATGAACTTGGAAAAATGAACATTACCTTCAATCCCGCCGGACACCGCCAGCCTACTTTCTGGGCTCGTGTGGTAAAGCAAAGGTCCAACTCGGTATACAATTTTGTTGCTGAAATGTCTGTCACTGAAACATGCTGACCCCCTCAAGCCGCAAGTCGGCAGCGCAATTCCATTCCATGGCGGTATACATTTGCAAGTCGCACTTTGCACTAACTTAAGTCAGATTTCGGAATGCCCTCGGGGGGAAGGTCTGCAAGCATAAGCAAACTTCGGTGGTGATTCAAGAGCCACAGCCACACCGACGAGAGTTGCATGCGCCTTGTCTCATGCCCGGGACTACAAACTAACCGCTGAGGGATTCTGAGGGACGATTGAAAAACACTGTTCACACTGAAGCAGGCACCTCGAACGACACACTGCTGGAGTCTCCACCACTCAAAGAATCACCCCAAGTCACCACGGTGCCGTCCGTCTTCTTGGCGGCGAAGGCATACCAGGTGGCGTAGATCACGTCCACATCGGTCAGCTGGCCGCTCACGCTGCTGGAGTCTCCACCATAAGAAGGATTACCCCAAGTCACTACGCTGCCGTTTGTCTTCTTGGCGGCGAAGGCAAACCAGGTGGCGTAGATCACGTCCACATCGGTCAGCTGGCCGCTCACGCTGCTGGAGTCTCCACCATAAGAAGAACCACCCCAAGTCACTACGCTGCCGTCTGTCTTCTTAGCGGCGAAGGCCTGCTGGGTGGCGTAGATCACGTCCACATCGGTCAGCTGGCCGCTCACGCTGCTGGAGTCTCCACCACCATAAGAAGCACCCCAAGTCACTACGCTGCCGTCTGTCTTCTTGGCGGCGAAGGCCACACTGTTGGCGTAGATCACGTCCACATCGGTCAGCTGGCCGCTCACGCTGCTGGAGTTTCCACCACAACAAGAAGCACCCCAAGTCACTACGCTGCCGTCTGTCTTCTTCGCGGCGAAGGCCTGCTGGGTGGCGTAGATCACGTCCACATCGGTCAGCTGGCCGCTCACGCTGCTGGAGTCTCCACCATCATGAAAATCACCCCAAGTCACTACGCTGCCGTCTGTCTTCTTGGCGGCGAAGGCAAACCAGGTGGCGTAGATCACGTCCACATCGGTCAGCTGGCCGCTCACGCTGCTGGAGTCTCCACCATGAGAAGAACCACCCCAAGTCACTACGCTGCCGTCTGTCTTCTTGGCGGCGAAGGCCCGCTCGGTGGAGTAGATCACGTCCACATCGGTCAGCTGGCCGCTCACGCTGCTGGAGTCTCCACCATCAGAATGAGCCCAAGCCACTACGCTGCCGTCTGTCTTCTTGGCGGCGAAGGCATACAGGGTGGCGTAGATCACGTCCACATCGGTCAGCTGGCCGCTCACGCTGCTGGAGTTTCCACTATAAAAAGAAGCACCCCAAGTCACTACGCTGCCGTCTGTCTTCTTGGCGGCGAAGGCATACTGGGTGGCGTAGATCACGTCCACATCCGTCAGCTGGCCGCTCACGCTGCTGGAGTCTCCACCACAACAAGAAGCACCCCAAGTCACTACGCTGCCGTCTGTCTTCTTGGCGGCGAAGGCCACACTGTTGGAGTAGATCACGTCAGCTTGGCCGGCTAAACTGAAGAACTGCTCCCCGCGAACGGCCAGCAGAACTCGAAAGGCGAAGGAAGCGAAGGAGAAGGGCGAAGCTATCATGGGTCAAGTGGCTTGGAACACCTAGCCTACGGGTCTTTTTGACCACACTTTGTCAAGTGATGCACAAGCTTTGGACCCTGGAATCTTTCCGCAAAATATTACAAAATCCTGAAGCCCAGACTCGAAGCCCTTAATTAGAGCACCCACCCCCCAAGCCCTGCCTAGAAGGGATCTATCGGAGCTATCCGCTGCGACCCTGCGGAATCCCAAGCCTCAGCCGAAGCGCCCTAATAAGGTTAGGGTGGTTCATGGGTTAAAAGTGTTTATCAGTTTTTAGGGTTTATAGGGCCTTTAGGGTTTAGGACATCGAGGTCTCAGGGAAAATCCGAATCAAGGGCTCTGGCGAGTCGGAAACCGCGCTGCTTGTCTTGAGCCAAGGACGCGAAGACGCATTCACGGAGATAACCTTAAAACCTTTTCTTCGAAGTAGAGAAGCCTACATGAACTGGCTGCAAGCTCTGTGCAACTTGATGTCTGCTTTTTAGATTCGCGGTGGTCTTCAATGTCTATCATACTATCAGATACCTCTAAAGTCCCTGTTCTAAGTGGAGGAGAGAGAGAGAGAAGAGGACTTGGAACAAGCTGACGCGTTTCAGCTGACCAACTCTCCAGCTGCAGCGCTTCTTGCGCGGTCTGTGTCGTGCTTCCTGCAGGTGTAGGGATGGTCGAGGAGGAGCTTCCTGCCATCTCCTCAAGGGCAACCTGCGGTCACAAAACACAAGCTGTGGTAGCGCCCGCTATGAGCACTGTGCAAAATCAGGAAAGGGAGAAACTCCGATGCATCGCAGCTGAAATTGTCAGCCAAAATTCTTGCAGAGGCCTCAGAGGCGAACAAGCCCCGTCACGTGGAGCCCTCAAAAACCTATAGAGCCTACTTTCAGCCCACTTGGAAGCTCTTGAAAACCCAAGCAAGGGTTACAAGGACAGGCGAACACTCCTGAACCAGGCCACCGCAGCAAGCGAAACGTGTGCGGCGCTACGGGTGCTTGGGCTTGGGAAATCGTGCTTTAGGGTTGGCAAGTTTAAGAGCGATAAGAAATTGGTTCGCGCCTGGAAGGACCGGATTCCCATGTGCACTCCGCCCGGCGGATGCGGGCACTCACGTTTCCCGCGCAGCCGGATTCGCGCACTGGCCCGGCGGATTCGCCGCGCGCTTCAACCCTAAACCAGCAACCTTAACGCCTCAACACCGACGCACCAAACCTTACCAAAGCCGAGAACCCGAGCCACAGTCACTGAAAACCCTCGAATCTCGAAATTCTTAGGACTTCAACATGTAGCTAGGCGGGCTTCGGAGGCATGCCCATAAGCAAACAAACAACAAACAATTTCGGGCTTATGGTTTAATGTTGTATACTGATTAGTGTGATCCCCCGGACTTGTGAAAAAAATCCAAAAATTATTCAGCGGGGTCTATCCAAGGAGTACCCCCGGAATTGTGAAAAAAAATCGGGCGATGCAAAATTTCGGCGAGGCTGTCGAATGGTGTTGTCGTCCAGAAATCGCTTCTGAACTGAGCCTGAGAGACCAAGGAAAGCCTGAAACCTTGAGGCCTGAGATTGTCGGGCCCTGAAATCTTCAGTCTCCAGGCCAGGCTCAAAACTAAGATTTCCTTATTAAATTCTTTTGTACCGAGGCCGGGCAATCAAATTTCAAAGGGGGTAGTCCAGCAGCTGCCCGAATGCCGTATAATATAAAAAGTTTGCTCCCCCGGAATTATATTTTTTTTGCGGGCTGGCTTGGTTGGGATAGATGGATCCCCTTTAAATTCATATAAACTTATCCCGTTTACAATCATGTGGGTCCCTTTTAAAATCATATGATCCCTTTTAGATTCAGATAAACTCATCCCTCTTAGAATCGTACGGATCCCTTTTAATTTCATATAGTCTCACCCCGTTCAAAATCATATGGATCCCTTTTAAACTCATACGAGCTCATCCCTTTTAAAATCATATGGATCCCTTTTAAATTCATATAAACTCATCCCTTTTAAAAATCATATAAAGCCCCCCCCCCCCCCAAATTGCCCCCCCCCCCCCCCACACTAATCAAAGGGATCCTTTCGTTGAGGGGGGGGGGGAGGGGGGGCCACACTAATCAGGGGACAACATTATGTGTTCCGGTGGGGCAGCAAGAAGTTTTGGGGTGTTGGGTGTTGAGGTGCTGCTCCATCGATCATAGTTTTTTCACTGGCAGCTATCCTGATTTTATATCCAGCTGCGTTGTAATATAGCACACAGGCGCTCGTCAAGCAATCAAACGGTTGGCTTTCATCTTCCCAACTTGTATTCTTGTTTCTGTACCCGAAACCACGTGTCCGACGCGCTGTGCTGAGGCAAAGGCAAGTCTGCCTGAAGGCAGCCTGGGCGAGTCTAGTTTTCGAGGTTGGGGGCAACTGGTGGTCCCTCATGACGGAGGACGAGTCAATTATAAACAAAGGTCGTGACCACAACTCAGACCTCGACAACAGAGTGGTGGTGGCAGAGGAGAAGTAGTAGCAGGAGAAGCAGTACTGCAGTAGCAGTAGAAGTAGCAGTAGCGGTAGCAGTAGTCGTGGTGGTGGTGGCGGTGGGCGGTGGCATGAGTAGCAGTAGCACCAGTGGCAGTAATTACAGCGGCGGTAGAGGCAACGGCAGCAGGCGGAAGCGGTAGGTTGCATAGACAATGCCCAGCTCGTGCGTTGCTTGCACAGCTCACGTCATCTCGACTGCTGTTGCGGAATCTCCCAAGTCTGTGCCATTAATGTAGCCCTTTGTCCCTACCTAGCCTAAAGCCAGCCATAAAAACCACAACAACCACTGTTCACGTATGGAGCTCTTGCTTGTCCGTCCTGGCGTGGACGCGAATGCACTGCTTGTGCGACTGAGACAGGCGAAACGAACCTTGAGCTTCCAAGCTATAGATCTGTTGCTTTGCCCTCGATGGGGCGTTTCTTCCGGGCTCACTGGACCTTCGTCTTGTTGGCGGGCTTTTCTGGGAAATCACCCCCGATGCCAGAAAGGTGGGTTTGCGAGCAAAAGAAGGGGCGGCGCTGGAAGCATCGGCAATTTGCTTCAAGAGTTGAGGCATAAAGCATCACGACGACGACCTCGGAGGCCTACTTTTATCCTATATTCAGAAAGTACTCCAGAGCGACCGGCCTCGTCCTATATCCAAGTAGTTGCAACAGGGCCGAGGCAGACTCAGTCTACACAATCTACTACTTTCAGTAGTGGTAGTAGTAGTAGCAGTAGCAGTAGCAGTAGCAGTAGCAGTAGCAGTAGCAGCAGCAGCAGTAGCAGCAGCAGCAGCAGTAGCAGTAGCAGTAGCAGTAGCAGTAGTAGTAGTAGTAGTAGTAGTAGTAGTAGTAGTAGTAGTAGTAGTAGTAGTAGTAGTAGTAGTAGTAGTAGTAGTAGTAGTAGTAGTAGCAGTAGAAAGTAGCAGTACTAGTAGTACTAGGTAGTACTAGGTAGTACTAGTAGTAGTAGTAGTAGTAGTAGTAGTAGTAGTAGTAGTAGTAGTAGTAGTAGTAGTAGTAGTAGTAGTAGTAGTAGTAGTAGTAGTAGCAAAGCGCGCGCCCCAGGGCGCCTGGTAGTTTGGTGCGTTTTGGTGCGTTTTTTGCTATTGTTGGGGGGGGGGGGGGGGGGGGGGGGGGGGGGGGTGGGGGGGGGGGGGGGTGGGTGGGTGGGGGGGTGGGGGGGGGGGTGGGGGGGTGGGGGGGGGGGGGGGGGGGGGTGGGGGGGTGGGGGGGGGGGGGGGGGTGGTGGGGGGGGGTGGGGGGGGGGGATAAGAACATCATTCATATTGCATCCACGCCCAAAACACTGGTATTTACAGCGTTTTCGCCAGTTTCTACAACATACCGTGCAAGGTTGTGGAACAAGACACGTTCTCACAAGCGTCCATGCCTTTTGCGACCATGCCCAAAACACTGGTGTTTACGCCCAAAACACTGGTATTTACAGCATTTCCGCCGCTTTGTACAACATACTGCGGAAGGATGTGGAACAAGAAAAGCATTCACAAGCGGCCTTGCCTTTGGCGACCATGCCCAAAACACTGGTATTTACAGTGTTTTTGTTTCTCTACTTTTTTTTTGGACTGACGCCTCTTTACTACATCAGTAGCGCAGTAGGCCGGTCTTGTTGGGCTCGACTAGGTGTGAGACAAGGACAACTACTTTGAGAGCCAACCTGTACAAGCCAGCGAGTGAAAAAGAAGTCGTGACTACAAAGAAGCAACCGCTAGCGCAGAGGCCCTTATTGCAAGACAACTTAACGCAAGGCCAGCGAGGTGAGACCAACGCAAACAAGAACCTACCGGCACCAATCACTCAGCTGCCCGTCACCCATAGCAATGCTGCGCCACGTCTAGTACAGACATTAAGCGAAAGTATGGGTAGGCCGTAAGGCAAGGAACCTCCGTCACCTAAACTGCTCAACGCGTCCGTAGAGACAGTCCCCACACAAGCGCCAGGGCAGTAGCAATAGCACTCAGGACTCCCTTTTGGGCTGGCAAGAAAATTTCAAGCACACTGAAAGAAAGGTACGAACGTGCACAAAGGCACAATGCAAACAGAGTGCAAGAAAAGGCGCCCCCTCCCCCCCCGGCGAGCGGGGGCAGGCAAGGGGCTGGTGTGGCTACACAGTGTGTGAGTCCGGGCGTCCTCACATAGCTATTAGGGGAGTGCCCTATTTGGAGGCTCCTTGTGTTTGCGCCGAAAGTTTTGCGACCTCATGGCCATGGGGCGGGCCTTGAGCGCTGCTTGCAAGAGGCCATATTCTTACAGCCCCGCGCAGCGGCCGATTTTTGAGACGGCACAAGAGCCCCAAAGGCTGCTGGCAGGCACTTGGCTCATGTGCTTCCCAGGTACCGGGAGCCTATCGGCTTGGCATGCTTAACCTGGTGCAGTTTAAGGCCCCCAAGGCTGCTTAACGGTCTGCAGCCAACCGCGCGTCAAGTGTGAGAGTCAAGGGGCCTTGTAACTCGGAGCCCCGCGCAGCGGCCGATTTTTTGCG